TATAGCTAGAGATCTGCAAACAAAGTGAAACGAAAGTGTTTTTGGCATTATTTTTTATGAATGTTATACAGTCAGGACATGAAAGACAAAGTAAACTAGCAAAAACTATGTTAGACATGTTTTTAAGAATATTGTTCCAAATACTATTTTATTCAGAGGCGCAAAATTTGGTGACTTGTTGCTAATTTCGGTAGTGGTACTTGTACCATGGTGATCTAGAACATCAATATAACAATTATAAGTGGACCATGACAGACAGGAAGGAAATAACAATATAGACTATGATATGTTTTTTTCTAAAGCTTAAAAATGAAGGAAAGTTTCAAATATTTAAGTTTGTGTTGCTGAAAATCTTAAAACAACTGCCAAAAATATTGATTTCAACGTTATCAAATGCACCAATTTGATCGTACTTAAGAAAACAACTATAGTTCAATTGTCTTAGACATAAGTATGGTCAGGTGGTTAGGGCACTCTGATGGCAAGCTGAGGGGCACAGGTTCGAATCCCCGTCCCACCAAACATACTCGCCCTTTCAGGCATGGGGCGTTATAATGTGCGGTCAATCCCACTATTTGTTGGTAAAAGAGTAGCCCAAGCGTTGGCGGTGGGTGGTGATGACTAGTTGCCTTCCCTGCTGTCTTTCATTGCTAAATCAGGGACGGCTTGCCCTTGTGTAGCTTTGCGCGAAATTCCAAGCAAACAAACAAATATAGGCCATGGATTTAAGCTCTTTTTTAACCGATATCAGGGTATTGTTTGTTCTCATTTTCATTTCATGATTTTTCTAAAGTAATTTAGAAATTTCTTACGATTATGATTTTTAATTTTTGGTTTTAAAGACACAAGAGATGAATAATGCAATACCGAGTTTATTAGTTTAAATTAAATTAAAATCCAAACTTTTTTCGAACTTTGAAATAAAGACATGATGAAATTATCATTGGAGTCTTCGTGTCACTTATACGTACGTGGACTAAACGGCATGGTTCTATACCCCTAGAATTCAGGTATAGTTATCTCTAATTTTGAACTGCTGACCAGATGGAAGTCTACCAGCAAGCATCAAAAACCACCAAAAAGTCGTTGTCAGTTGTCAGGCTAGCTAATAATATGTCATCAATTGAAATAGTCGTTGAAAGCGATATCGTCTTTTAATGTGCATATATTTTGGGTATAGGTTCGAACGAATTAAAAGTTTATGGATAGAAACGATAATATTCGTTTCCAGAAGCCACGTTAGCAATACTGTTAAAATAAACAAGGGATTAACATTTAGTCTAAAACAAATAGGAAGGTATCTGTGATATTAGTAAAAGTTTTTTTTTGTCTGATTTGTTTGTTTGAAGTTAAGCACAATGCTACACAATGGGCCATCTGTACACTGCCCACCACGAGTATCGAAACCCGGTTTCTAGCGATGTAAGTCCGCAGACATTCCGCTGTATCACTTGGGGGCTTTTGTAAAAGTATTGCAGTTATCTGGTAGATAAGGAGAAGCCAAAACTTATTAGCTGAAAACTGAGGACTTGGATAAACAGACTTCTTGACCATAGGCTTAGATACCGGTGAGAAAAAGAAGTCAAATCAGACACATCATGGCCGAAGCTCAAGTCCAATCCCGAATTTCTTTTTCGAATGTGGAACACCAACCTACTGTAAGAGGATCTGCCCTATGTCCTGGTTTTCTTTACTTGGCTCACCTTTCTCTGGTTCTATATTCCTGCAACATCTCTAAACCCCTACCGTAGAATTTCTGTTCTAAATTAATGGAGACCAAGAACTTGAAACCAAACAAAAGTTTGTTTGTTTGTTTTTTGAATTTCGCGCAAAGCTACACGAGGGCTATCTGCGCTACCAAACAAAGGTAAATCCATTTAGTTACAAGGACCTGAGCCAAGCGTGACTGATAGTTTGAGCTCAATTCAGGGAAGTCTCTGTTGAAATCAGCTTAAAAGCTGTTTTTTTAACCCACAATAAGATCATTTAAAAGGTTTTTCTCAACTTAAAAATAGTTTGCCAGAAGACTGTAAAGGAAACACAAGATATTTGTGAGGAAAAATTGTCTAATTTTGTTCTGGATACAACCTGCTAGCAACGCTAAGACCTCTCATAGTGTGACTATAGATTGAGTAAAATCATATTTCATATTTACCTTTGGTTGCAGGATCAAGTCTTACCAGATAACACAGTTCTCAAAAAGACTCTTACCACTGTTCTGTTTCCACATGTAAAGAAAGTTCAGAAATACCAAAGGGGAAAATGAACCTTGACGGTGTGAAACCGCCATAAAGTCATCTTGTTTCAAAGCTGCAACTTGCATGTTACAGTGTGAAACTACCAAAAGTCACTTTGTTCTAAAGCTGTCACCTACATGTTTTATGCAGGTTCAACACAAGCGTTAACGTGTGTAAGTGCGATTTTTGTTTCAAATTTTGATGAACAAAAAATGCTCACTTTCCTGCACTAAAAGGAAAAGAAACACATGATGTATTTGTTTATAGAATCTTCTCACGAAGCTACATATCGGATACTTACGTATAATTGCTTTTAAATATGAACTAATTTAACTGAGTAAGGAGCTAACTTTTCAGTGATAGCGTGGGAGAGAGTTATTTGAAACATTTTGAAAATGTTGGTGAACAAAACATTTTCATCTTTATAAGCTAAAAGGAAAAGAAACACCTGATATATTTTACACGCCAAGCTTTCTCCGTTTGTGATATTCCCATATATAACTCGAGGTTCGACAGAAAATGTTATGTAGGAGTAAATCCGAATTTTCTGTCTCTGACTGAGCTTGAGGCAAAGAAGAAACTGAACACAATGTAAAAACAGCTGCAAAAGAATCTTTATTAAAGTCAAACACAATGAAAAAAAACTGGTGCACAACGCTTTCAACTTGGTATTTTGAGAAAGCTCTCTGACCTCTCACTATCTGACTGTCCCAGACTGAGAGAGCACAGCATTATATACAAACTTCTTCAGTACCATTTCTATCACTTTCTACAGGCACCACTCACGTTACTGTTGGTCGTTCCAATGGAAAAAACAGGGAGGTTATATCTTAAACATATCACGTGACCCACTTGTGGAAGAGATCACTGTCCACTTTCACTTAGCCTTCTACTATGCAGCAATGTTTCCCACAAGAAATGGCACGTGACACCAAAGAAAAATGACACTGAACAATATGGGACTAGGGTGAAAGTTATAAGTATATATGTTAACTCACTAAACCATTAAGAGGTTAGATAAGCATCAATTATAACAGTTAATATAATTGAAAAAGTTTGAAAATACCCCATACCATCACATCAAACTTTCAGTCTTGAAAATTAAAGAAAAATAAGTTTTTAAGGCAAAAGATAAGGTATTTTTGTACACTGTAAGAAGGAATGAGAGTTTATAAAGCACACACATATACAGTCACTCTTTTACATAAATTATTACTTTTTACATGCATTACAGCTAATTTATTCACCTTTATAATGTACCAGATTTGGAAGCTACTGTTTCTTCCTCTTGTACTTTACCACTATGCTCATGTTAGAATCACACAATTTAAATCAAGTGGTGTTTGTAAACGTTATTAACTGAACTTCCACGAGAAAAAATGTTATTATCCATATATTGGGGTTAATTTAATCTAGTTTTGAAGCTCTATATTACATTCACTGCTCCATTAAATTCTCTAGGAGTGTAGACTTTTCCTGCACAACAGAAAAGCTGCAAAACTACACGTGGCTTATCCATAGCTGTCTGACATCTTTACTCTAGTTCTCAGTATCTGTATTTATATCACCAGCCCTTTTTATGGTAAGCCATCGGGACCACAATGTATTGACTTAACGTTATATCCCTGTAGACAGTAACCCATAGGGTTATAACGTATTAACTCAATGTGTTGTCATTGTTCGACTACGCGTTGGAACAACACGTTATTGCTCTGTTGGATACCATCTACAGGGCCATGGGATCTTGATTCAGCATGTTAGATGAAATTACTACCGTATAAGGTGGTAACCAACAGGGTTATAACGTTTCGACTCAATGCGTTGTTCAAAATAACATATTTATGACATAACACGTTATGGAGACATCATGTGATCGAAAACCATGTAGTCATTTGCTTGTTCGGCAATACGTTTAACCAATACATTATAGCCCCGATGGCTTGCATGGTCGTTGTCACAGTGCACCATACTTTGTCAACTTCGAGGTGGCAGTTTCATGAAGTAAGTGCATAACAGCTTGCGAGCAACACCTAGGCCTAGTACCAATAGTTGTTACTTGGTGCTAGAGTTAAATATAACTGCCCACAAAATAGTCAATCTAAGGTACTGTAGTCGTAGAAATAATTGGAATTAAAAGCAAAAGTTTTTTATTCATTTATTTTTTATTTTTAACAGGCTACGCGACGCTGGAGTTTCTAGAAGGATCATGACTGTTCCTGACAACTCTAGTCTTTTCCAGGCGCCCTCTATTTTAGTATATAAGCCCCGCAAATAAAGTGGAAAATAATTGTAGATTGAAGAGATAGAGACAGATAATTGAGTCAAGTGAGCGGTAGTAACGGTAACATAAAGTATGTGTTTTGTTATCGAGATTGCAAACGTATTGACTGTGAAAATTCTGTGTATTATAAAGTTGTATCGAGAAATAATAAACTAGTTTTAGTTAAGAAAGGACTTGTATCGCTGAAGTTTCTCGGAAAGAATTTCTACGGGAAATTAACAAACGAACGGAGACGTAAAAGTACGATTAGTAACAGTATAAATGTTGAACTAGCCTGACTGAGTTCTAGCCTCGGTATATGAATGAATAAGTTTTCTTTCATTCGAAGGTTGTTTTTATCATTGACACTTGTTAAGATCTTAAAGTAATTTTAATGGATAACTACGTCACACCCACTTAGGGCGTGCTAAAATACACTCGATCTATTTAGCTTTCTTAAATTTGCACGTTCTCTCACGCATTTCGCCGTTGGGCACTTTCAGGTCCGGAATTGTCCAGACTTCAGAAACAGTTTGAAGAGAAATATTTATTTGATGATAACCCAGAAAACCACGAGAAGAACGTGAACAACTTCACAGAAACAGTGAATAAAATGGGAAATTTATTCTTGGACGATTTCCCAGAGTTATTGACACTTGACAGCCGCACCTGTGTGGACAAATCCGTCGTTGATGCGCTGCTTATTCTGGAGGACACAAGCTGTCTACAGTATAAGGACTTCGATAATGATCGATAAGGTTTTATCACAGATACAATCAAGAATAAGAATCTAGCACTCTTCAATAAACTTCAACCCAAAACATCTTCAGCACAATGAAAGAAAATGAAATTGCTCCAAAATAACGTGGCGCTCTTAGATCAGTTGTACATTTCAATGTAGAGTCACGACGGGGATTTGAAGGAGCTCTTTGCCCATCAGATACAGCCTTTCCCGTCAGCCCTCTCAGATTTTTGGAAAACTCTATTTGCCAATTGAAATGCTTAAACAAGGCCGAAGATCTTGAGCCTCTAGAAGACTTCAACGGTAAGATCTTGGACGATGCTGTTATGGTCAACATCCAACCGCAGTGATTACGACTTTTGATGAATATGCAGAAAAATATCTTCATACCTCATTTGATAAAACAACTGGATGACATAACAAGGATAGATGTTGTGTGGGACACTTAAATTCTTGATAGTTTGAAAGAATGTGAATGTTAGAAAAGAAGAAAAGGTGTATGCAGAAAGGTTTCAGGTTAATCAAAGCTTCCAGGAAATTGGATGGAATTCCTAAGGGATTCTAAGAACAAGAGGGAATTGTTTGCTTTTCTTGCTTCGAAACTGGACTTACTTGAGGGACTTCAAGCAAAATCTGTTTATATCACATCCGACCAATCTGTGTTATGTATTGGCTGTGGTATACATTTGTCAAACAGTAACCACGAGGTTCTTCAGTATCAATGCAATATGTACAAATATAGGATCAAAAAGATCAATACCATCAACAGTATTTCATGCCATAACTGAGTTTGGTACTACATCAGCATTCAAAAGTAAGGGCAAGAAATCTGTACGGCAAGCCTATGATGACGTCACTGCAACACTCATATTTCTGGCCACACATCCGTTTGAGATTTTGAGTGAACAGTCATATCACTTTAAAAAGATCCAGAGACTTGTTGTTATTATATATGACTGAACCAGTACCCAATTATCTGTAAACCAAGCACGAAAGGAACTATATTGTTTGACGAAGTTATCCATGGACAGATTGGTGCTTACCCAGAATGCACTACTTCAACACTTACGCTGTGCAGTGTACCAAGCCGAGATATGGAGAACCATCATCCACTCCAACCAAGTGCTTCCATTGCTAATCTACTTCGCTTGGACAAAAGCATCAGGATCATGGACACCAGTTGTTAGCCAATGAATACACCAATTAGACCTGTTGGGATATAATGATATTATCTATTTCTATAATAGCCTTATGATATGAGCATGTCACTTTTTGTCTCAATAGAATTGTGTCTTCAATAAATGAATCGTTTATCCAAATGTTCGCTAATAGTTATGTATCCTGAATGGAGTGAAAGAGTACGGTAGCCCAAGTATACACATATATTTTGTCATCTGTATGGCATACAAAATCATATTAGTGATCTACTTGGTTACAGTCCGTTTAAAAGTTTGGGCTTCTGTATTGTTCTATGGTTTCGATGTATGATATCAACCAATCACATCAATATTGGGCGAGGTTTGTAATTTCTAAGTGGTCTTGTTATCACTGACATATTTGATAAACATACATAGTAATGCAGACGAATGATCTTCTGTTTAAACGTATTCACTCGTTAAATCTAAATAATTTGAGTTTTTTTTTTCAACACATGTATACCACTTTTTAAAGGAAAATAAACGTTGACCATGTTGAGTGGCGGCCATTTTGGATTTGGTGAATTATACGGAAATGTGATATATCTCACGATGGCTCCTGTTCTAAATTTATCAGTGTTACTAAAAGAAGCTTCATGCAGTATTTGATGTTTTCATCCGCTCTGTAATGATAACCCTAAAAATTGACACTAAGCAATTTGACTATTATCACTAACAGGTATTACTAAGAGTTGCACAAAACGTTCAGGCAAAAAAAGCACCTTAAACAGTAAAGATTCAATTCAAACAACACTTTTAAACCTTTCCTGTTGGCTGTTAAAGCTGTACACATATCCATACACGAAGATATGTTTAAACCGATGATTTAGATGTACATATTGTATTTGAAAAGGCTGCTTTTCCACTGGTAAAATTTTATACGTGCTTAATGGGGGTGTCTTAGTCTAGGTATATATTTGGCCACTGCTATGCATTATGTATATACACAGAAACTATAAATGCTAACTATATTCTCAAACAAATATCTATAACATCTCGAACTAATGCGATCAAACAGTCAATAGCTACAGTAAATCATCATGAACCATATCAGCTAGTTATTAACTATGTTTATTATAATTACAATGTATAAAGTTAGCTACCACATCAAGTAACACCTTTGAAAATTAAGGATAGAGCATATTTTCGCGTAATTTAATAAGTTAGGCGTATGTCTCACAATTCATATTAAAACATTGAAAAAGTAGCGTACAATACTATTTTCTGATATATATTTCTTCAGAAGAAACAGTCCAGTTATTGTGCTGGTTTTGATATAGTCCTTACATACTAACATTCCTTTAGAAGAAACGATACAGTTATTGTGCCAGTTATGATACTGAGTTATTGTATACTGACATTCCTTTAGAAGAAACAGTCCAGTTATTGTGCTGGTTTTGATAATGAGTTATTGTATACTGACATTCTTTGGAAGAATCTATCCATTTAATTGCAGATTTAATTTCAATGAGAATTCAAATGAATTTATGTATTTCAAAATGTCCAAGTTATATAATTATTTTGTATATAAGGACTATATCAAAACCAGCACAATAACTGGACTGTTTCTTCTAAAGGAATGACAGTATACAATAACTCATTATCAAAACCAGCACAGTAACTGTATCGTTTCTTCTAAAGGAATGTTAGTATGTAAGGACTATATCAAAACCAGAAAAATAACTAGACTGTTTCTTCTAAAGGCTATCTGTTTGTTTGTTTTTGAATTTCGCGCAAAGCTACACGAGGGCAATCTGCGCTAGCCGTCCTTAATTTAGCAGTGTAAGACTAGAGGGAAGGCAGCTAGTCATCACCACCCACCGCCAACTCTTGGGCTACTCTTTTACCAACGAATAGTGGGATTGACCGTCACATTATAACGCCCCCACGGCTGATAGGCCGAGCATGTTTGGTGTGACGGGGATTCGAACCCGCGACCCTCTGATTGCGAGTCGAGCGCCCTAACCACCTGGCCATGCCGGGCCTATTCTTCTTGTATCTAACGGAATGTCAGTATACAATAATTCAGTATCAAAACTAGCACAATAACTGTATCGTTTCTTATAAAAGAATGTCAGTATACAATAATTCAGTATCAAAACTAGCACAATAACTGTATCGTTTCTTCTAAAAGAATGTCAGTATACAATAACTTCAGTATCAAAACTAGCACAATAACTGTATCGTTTCTTCTAAAAGAATGTCACTATACAATAACTCAGTATCAAAACTAGCACAATAACTGTATCATTTCTTCTAAAAGAATGTCAGTATACAATAACTTCAGTATCAAAACTAGCACAATAACTGTATCGTTTCTTCTAAAGGAATGTCAGTATACAATAACTCAGTATCATAACTGGCACAATAACTGTATCGTTTCTTCTAAAAGAATGTCAGTATATAAGGACTAAGTATAAAAACAAGCACATATACACTACTCCCAAACTTGACATTTTGTATTTCATTAGAAAATTCAAAACTTCCTTTCAATTACTGTAATATACTCTTCAGGGAACCAACCAAAAATCCTGACAAATGATTATAGGTTCCAGTATTTAAAACAACAGGTCTTACTTGACACACTTCTTTATGTATTTTAGAAATACCATAGAAAATTCGCAGATGATTTCCAACCGGTCTGATTTCAGAATGATTGTGCTTTAGTTAATATATTATTTTTCTTTAATTCAAATAACTATCTTTTTGATTTTATCTCTCTAGTATGAGTAATTCAAGTACATTTCTGAGGCTTTATCAACATCCTACCGCATGAGTCCCGTGATGTGATTTTATCTAAGTTTTTTCATTGGTGTTACTTTATTTATCTTTTAAAGTATAAGAACTTTGGGATTTGCAGGTATCAAGCTTTAAAAAAAATCTGATATTTTGTTTTTGAACTTTAATCATAGTTATCTATTATTTTATTACAGATTTTACACGGAGTGCTACACATTCCATATCAGTGTTATAGTTTAAGTGGAACCAACAACTCAACGAAGGTCAGAGTTGAATTTTTTTTTGCCAATAATCATGTGTTTAAAAACAAAAACGAAAATGTTAATTAAACTATTACTTGCAAATGTCAGTTTCCAAATTGTCAAACTCTGTATAAGCTTTTGTATATACACTTAACAAAGAACTTATTCAAATTTCATGCGAAAGTAACCTATTGTTGCGTCAGCGAGTCACATGCTACTGTGACGCCACGTTTCTAGAACTATCCTGTACCTGGTCGGAATGCTCTAGTATTACTAGATATAGGGTAG